ATGCAACTCCAGTAGACTCTGACTCAATATCGGTCGCTCCTATGATCGGTGTAGTCATGCCAATACCATCGGTAGGTGGCATATTCGTTGGTGTCGTAGGAGTAGGATCACCTATTGGAGGTGGGGGATCTACTCGTATCTCATCAATCGGATCTGCAAATCTAGCTACTCGACCTCGTCCACAACTAGTTCGACGACCACGTCTAGCACTCATTTTGGTAGATCTCGAGATTACTACAGAAGATAAACTTAAGGTTAGATAAGCACTTGGAGTCTCGAACATAGTTAAAATCTTAATAACTTTGTGACATGGCCTTAGTAACTCGTTTTGTAAAATATTTCAAAACTGTATTTTCAATGTGGACTCATACACAGTCCGAGGGTTAAAAACCAAAAGCTCTGATACCAATAAATGTAACCCCCTAGACCCGGCCTATGCGTTTCGACTAAGTCTAGTGGATCACATTATGATTATTAAAGACATTTTTCGAAACCGTTATTCCATCAATATAAAATCACATTATAAATAACATGAAATTATAAACAAATTATACTATCAAAATCCAACTCGTAAATATAGTACCAATAAATAATAATTTAATTTAAAACATGTCTTCAAATTCAATATCACAATAAACCGAGCAGTATTAGCAAAAGAGTTATCATTATAAAATCCGATATTTTAAAATAAGGTCCATGTCACCAAAATAAAGTCAACTTGCGAGATAAAAACATTACAATTTGATTTACTTCAAGAGATATGTTGATCCTCCAAGTGCTCGAACCAAGGTATCTAACCAACAGTATCTGAAAGGGGAAAACATTTTCAAAAGGTGAGCTAGGCTCAGTGTGTCCCAACATTTCCATAAAATCACAATAGGTACAAATCATAGTCCAGTAATCTCACAAATTCGTAAAAGAGTATAACTTTTTGAAAATCATAGTTTAAACCCTTTTCTGGTACACCATCAGTAGTTCCCAAAAGTATTTTCCATATAGCTTACTTTATGCACATAGCAAAAAGAAAGCCGACTTAAGGATAGGCTATGAAGCTTGTATCCTTAAGCCCAAGTCAATAAGTCCATATAGCTTACCCTAAGCACACAGTAAAGGAAAGCCGACCTAATGAAACATCTTGGGGCCCTCAAGAGTCACATTAGGCCCAGTTTAGCTTGATCAGAGCTATTTCATCGTATTTCAATTCCAAAATTCAATTGTACCGTGACATAAATTCCATAAATCCAAAAACATGGTAATCATATACCATTTCAAAACAAAAATTAGATAGCAGCCATATTCCATAAGTTGTCACATTAAATTGGTGCATCCATAAAACAATAGCCAATGAATTCGGTGTACCACATATTAAAACCAATAAAACAGTTCAATAATAAGTAGGGAACACACCTCGACAATAGGTTCAAATAGCAAATTTACTGATTGCTGGTTTCACCACGCTCTGCTACAATTTTCGAACGGGCGAATACTGGCACACGTGGTTTAACTGATCTAGAAGAGCTGGGTCGAGCTGTCGAACAATCCGGAGAGTCTCTTGTACCTTCAAACAATAATAATCTATCAGTCCCAAATCCTATTTAATTGTTCAAAGCTAGTCTTCTTAAGTATATAAGCATTTTTCGAGTTTGACTATCAATTTGGGGTATTTCGAGTCTGAATTTGGCCAAACGGATTGCGGAAACGGAATCAGGACGTCGAAAAATATAAAGTATGACTTTTCGAAAATTCAGATTCTTGGTCAAAGTCAAAGTCAACCACTTTGACCGTCTATTTGGAGACCTTTGGGTTTGAATTTGGCAAAACGGACTGCGGAAATGGATTTGGCACGTCGAAAACTATCAGGATAGGTATATTCAGAAAAGATTTACGGCCGTTTAAGGGTCGGTCAAAGCCATTTTAAGTTTTAGTCAAAGAAAGTCAACGGTCAACGGTCACGGTCAACGGTCAACTGTCGGGTCGGGTCAACAGTCGAGTTGGGTCAACCCGGTTCAGACCGGTCAAACCGGTTCAAAACTGGTCAAACCGGTTTTCCAGCAGCTCACTCTCCCTGTGGCGGCGCGTTCGGCGCGTGAACAGTGCCACGGTGTCGGAAAATTCCCGGAAAAATTTCTAAAAATTATTTTGAGCGATTTCGAGATACTTACAACGATCGGTTCAAATTTTTGAACGGCGGAGAGCTCGTATTTCAACTCGGCCGAATCTTTGACTGCTCCACCTCCTCACGTGCCGCCGTCGACGGCGAACAAGGTTAACACCGGCGGACTCGCAACGACACAAGGAACACGATGGTGCAGGAGGTGTCGTAAACGGAACAACGATCGGCGGTGAATTTAAGTTTTTCCCGGCGATAGAGCTAAAAAAAACGACGATGCTTTGACTGAAAATTCCCGACGTTTGGCAGCGTTTCACTTCAATTAATTTGAAGGGTTTGTTCCTCGCTTGATGATGAACACAACGGTGGTTTCAATTTTACGATTGGACGTCGAACGGCGTCGGAATCGGGCTTGGAAGTAAGGGTACGAGAGAAGGAAAATTGAGCAAATTCTCAATTGTGTTTTCTGATTTACAATCAGAAACCACGCTTAAATTATAAGCCTGCCGACACTTCTTGGAGGAATTCAGGGCTTGGTCCCTGAATTTCCTTCAACTTATAAAATGGCCTATAACTTTTCATAAATTTTAGTTCAGTCATTAAATTTCACCAATTTTCACAATTAACATCCAATTTCAATTAAATATTATTTTGTAAATATTCGGGTTGTTACAAGATATGCGAAAAACGTACTAAAATCCATAAGGAACGTGTCATAGAGTAGAAAAAAAAGTGTCATAAAAATAAAGAAAAACGTATCACGATGACAGAGATTCTTATTCAATATTTTTTAAAAAAACTTAAGTAAAAAAGAAAACAATTACATAATATATAAAAATAAAAAAACTAATAATTATCGACAATCGGTAACCAACATTAAAATTGAAACCTTCACTTTTTAAACAAAATTCAAAGGGAAAGAGAAAGATGAGATAATTATTGAATTAACATAAAAAAAGAAAAAGTCTTATAAGGAATCAACTGTCCTAGTTATTATAACAGATACATTAAATATATATATATATATTAAATTTTAATATGATATGATAGGAGAGATTCATTTATATTAATGTAAAACTAAGGTCTTATTTAATATTTTTTTTATTTATATTAAATTTTAACATATATATTATTATATATAATATTGAAATCCCATAGAATTTCACTAGTAAGACTTTTGACTCAATGACCATGTAAATCCTTCATGTTTACTTCCTTTACAATTTAATCATTAAAATTTCAATTATTCTTTAGTTTACAATTAAATTTCGAATTGGAAAATTATTTTATCAAAAAAATTTAATTAAACATAAATTATTTTCTAATGATTAAAATTTAATATTTTAATCCTTCAAATAATTTTTTGATCATCAGATTAAAAAAATTGGTTCAAGATTTCAGGATGGTAGTATATTACATTTATACTTTACACTTAAGATTATTTGATGAATATGAATGGATGACTGAGACTAAAACTTTATGAAAAGATTATGTATAACACTATACATTGTGAATAAATTAAATAATAACACATTAAAAATTTAAAATTACCATGGTTATCATCTTACATATCATCCATCATATACTATTACTGCATGAAATGTTAACCTGTAAAAATATGAATATTGTTTTAAAAAAGTCCAGAACCACCCACAAATAATTTTATCATATATGTTCTTCTTCAGACTGTTGATAGCCAAAGACCCATAAGCCTATATGTGCATGATGTTCTGCAGGCTGCAACTAATGTATTAAGATTTAACAGACGTGTTTATCACTTTGCAAGTTGCGCAACGAAGACAGCAACTGATCCTATTTTCAGCCATTAAAAAAGAAGGTACTCTTCATATAATAATCCATACTTTTCCTCTCTCTCTTTTCGCCAACGTAGCAGTAGTTCCAGATCTGATGAAGTCTAACAACAAATCGTCCGTAAAGAAGGGGTTCTTAGGCTTTAATTAAAAGAAAAAAAAAACCTATGGTTTCATTTGCATATGAGACCAGGGACCGACCCTAAGTCCCCTAACCATGCCCTACATGCAAATTGGAAATATTTTATTGTTTTTTTCGAATCTCTGCATATATATATATATATATATATTTTATTGTAATAGCATTTCCAAATTTGGATAGTATACATTGATTCTCTTTTGGAGAAATTTCTGGGAAAGTTTGCAGCTCAAACCCATTAATATTTCTGCATAAAATCTATTCTCCAATCATCTTATTAGATAAGTCATGAGTTCATCAAGTTGGCGGAAAAGAAAGTGACTGCTTTGTCCCAAATCATGCTAAACTGTATGATGCCTTTTATATGATACATGCACAGCTCTCCAAATGATCCTTTATCAGAGATGAATTCTTAGAAAACTGCTTTGGCTGTTAGCATATCAGATAAACTCTGGGTTTAGTCTTATAATATCTAGCAGGTTTAGGTTTCGAATATATATACATTAGAAGTTACAATTTCTAATTATATATAATACCTAAGTAATTAGCTCAACTCACACTAGTTCTTTGTCAGTCCAATGAAATTTAACTGTAATTCATTATCATCATGATTGGAGCGAAATTTTATTCGAGAAAGGTGAGTCAAAATTTCCTTTCTCACCGACGTCGTCAATGAAGTCATCGAACGCTGTTTATAACGGTGAATGTATGAGCTGCAATGATCCTTTGACTTTTCAAAAATGTCAACTTGGTGGAAATACGAACCAGACTTGCAGGATTTCAGCTTAATTTCCAGTAGAGAAAACTAATGATCTTTTCTCTTTATTTGAATATTTTAACAAAGGCCTTTCATTTACATTTTCTCTTATATATCCATCTCTTCATTTCATCACAATTCTCTGACAGAGTCAGCACCACTCTTTGTTTTCTCTTCTCTGATCATAAAAATTTATCGATGAGTAACTTGTACATGGAGAACTGGGATTTGCTAGCAGTTGGAGAAAGCAGCAACGATGCCTGTATCTCTTACATGGAAAACCCAGTATTCAGTTTCGATCCTTGGAGTTTTCAACTGGAAGAAGATCTCATGAGTTTCCCAGAAAATTTTGAGCCCAACCCGAAAGATTTAGATGAATTGGAAGAGCTTTACAAGACCTTCTATCCCGAGTTCAATCCATATTCCGTACCAGTCCTTGAAGAACATGTGGTGGAACCTGAGAACCAAATACAGCAGCAATCTGTTTCTCAGTCTGCTAATATTTCTGGTGCAAATAAGGACTCAGGCAAACCTAAAAGATCCAGGTTTGTAAAATTATCATGCTTGTAATAACCAAGTAAGAATCTGGTGGTAAGTTTTGTTGAGTAAACAAATGATTTTCGCATGTTTCAGCCGGAAAAATCAGAGAAATAGAGTGGTGCAGCATGTAACAGCTGATGATCTTCAATCGGATAGATGGGCATGGCGAAAATATGGGCAGAAACCCATCAAGGGCTCACCATATCCAAGGTAAATAAGCATCTCTCTCTTCATTGTCATCTTTGTTTTTGTATATAAAGCTTATATTTTGTAATGGAAAAACACAGGAGCTATTACAGGTGCAGCAGCTTAAAAGGATGTTTAGCAAGAAAGCAAGTAGAGCGCAGCTGCTCGGATCCCGGAGTCTTTATCATAACATACACCGCCGAGCACAGCCATGGCCACCCGACTCGGCGAAACTCGCTTGCGGGAAGCACTCGCAGTCACAATAAGTCATCAACAGTGGCTAAAAGCCTTGCCAATAAATGTAAACTCCATGGGGCAGAAGAAACGGTTCTATCTTCTACTACCATTAAAGATGAGGTTGTGAAACACGAGAGCATAAATATGGAAGAACAAGAAATGCTTGGAGGTGTTGATCAGATTCATAGGGATAAAAGTCTCATGCCAAACATAATGTTGAGCGACGAATTAGTTCAAAGCTTCGAGAATTTTGAGTTTGAGGGTTTCTTTCTGGATCAGTTTCCAGATTTGTCTCATGAAGTATGGCCCGTGAATGAATCCGCAACCTTAACCGGCGGTTGCTGAATTAGTCTTTAGCCATGTAACAACCAAATTGCAGACTGGTAACAGCTGATGCACCGTCGACTTTTTTTTTTTTTTTTGTATCTGTAACTTTTCTTCTTTGCACTTCCAGTCTCTGTAATACATCTCATGCAAGAGGTTGAATATAAACAATTGATATAACAAAAGTAGAGATCCTCAGCCAATTTACAGTACTAATCTAAAAGTTTAATATCTCACTAAGACACCATAGAAATGAACAATGGATTAGCAGTTATGGATTTGGTTTAGAATCCATACATCCAACCGAGCAAACATTAATTAGCTCAATTTTAGGTTTAGTGGGAAGAATAACAAGATTCTTTCAAGTAAAGTTAAAGTTTTGAACTTTTATATTAATCGGTCTATGATAGACCTCTATAATACTCGATTCAGATTAATCGAATCATAAATCGAATATCGATAATTATGTCGAGAAAAAGAAGAAATTTGTTATTTATATATATTGTATATAATAAATGTTAAAAGTCAAGGAAGTCCGGATTGAGCAGTTTTTCAAATGCCTTTTAAGATTAAATTGCATTGCAAGTTTTATATTTTATTTTCCATATATCCAACTTGCACTCGCCTAGCTTTCTTTTTCCGGAATAAATATGACAAACCGCGTGCCATCTAATGGAAAACTACTGTCAAATTATATTTATTAATAGGAGTAATTACGCTGTACATCCCCAAACAGTGACTTTTACTCTAAATTGGTTCCTAAACTTTAGATCATTCTGAATTCATCATCAAATTATGACTCTCATTCTAAATTGGTACCCAAACTTTTAAACATTCTACATTTTCTCCTAAACTATGAACCTCATTCTAATTAGTCCCCAAACTTTTGAATATTCCAATTCCATCCCCAAAATTTTTGAATGATTTTGGGAGACTTATTGGATCATTTAAATGTTTAGGGGCCCATCTAGAATGGAGATCATAGTTTGAGGATGAATTTAGAATATTCAAAAATTTAGGGATTAATTTAAAATAAAAGTCATAGTTTGAGCATAAAATTAGAATGTTAAAAAATTTAAAGACCGATATAAAATGAGAGTCATAGTTTAGGAATTTCTGATTCAGCTAACTCATATTAATAGTTATATTAATGGACTAAATAATCCTTTTCCATTGGTTAAGTAGCCATAAGGACCCTTTTATTTATGGTTTGAACTCAATCCCTCTTTGAATTTAAAAATATAATAATGGAACTTGAGCAAGAGTAACTTTTTGGATTGCACATAAAATAAGTTGTATATGTAAAAGTATCATAGTAGTTTTTACAATTATATTTGGATTGTATTTTGATCCTTTATTAAAATATGGACAAATCAATCATGCATATTTTAAAAAGAGTAAAAGTATTCAATTTGCGTCTACAGGATGTGTGTACACATTATCAATAGCTAAGAATAATTATGAATATATACTACCTTGTAATTACTTCAGACTAATAAAAATACATAAAAGATAAAATGATTTTTTTAAATAGTCTGAAATGATTACAAGATAATATTTTCTTAACCATTGACAACGCAGACACCCTACAGACGTACCTACTCGAATCTAAAACATCTAGAAAAACCAACACTCTCTTCATTCACTAAATTCACTTGATGAGTTTATAAAATATGAACTTTTAAGAAAATATTTGTAACCTCCTAACCTAAAAAATATATATTCTCAATGTATTTAGAGATAAAATTTTACAAAGTCATCCAATTTTGAACCCTTATTTAATTTAATAATTCAAGTTCAATTCAATTATCAATAAAAAGTAAAAGTAACTCTTTAATGTTATAAACTTATCCATTACTTCATGATTAAACTATTTGCTTTGATTGAAAACACCTCTTTTTTATTTTTTTTAAACACATACAATTGTTATAATCATTTCTTTTCATATAAAATAATAAACCAAACGATGATAAGAAGTATCATTGTTTGATTTGTGATTTTCTTTCAAAAAGTAAAGTGTAACTCCTCTTATTACAGAGTCAATATTTATATATTGATCCAAATTAAAATAAATTAAATAATAAACTCATTTAATATTATTAAGCTAAGTGAGCAAACATATTTGGTCGGTTGATCAAGTTGCTCATCTTTATTCTTTCATATTCTCTTAGGTCATGAGTTCTAGACTCATTAGGAGCACTTATTTCCTTCCCCTAGAATCCAATGGTAAGTTTCATAATTAAATCTTGATTCAAAATTTAACCCTGAAAACTTTAAAATAACTTTTTAGTCAAAAAGTATAAAATATTTATCTTATGCCTCAAGATACTCAAAACATATAACATGCAAAAGCACACAACACACAGCATTTGTTCAACTAGAAAATCACATGTAAATTATGATACTTTACAACTAGTAAAAAAACCCAGAAAAGATGTATCTTATAATGTATTTTTTTTATTTGATATTTTACAACCATGAGGAAGGTGTAGATATTCCCTGGAATGAAGTTTAAATTACTTAATTAATTAGTTCCATGAATATGGTAAATTCATAGGTCTACATTGCCTGATGCAACTCTAGTAAACTGCATTACACATGGTCAATCATGTTTATGATTGCATTAGTCTACAGCTGTTGCAGAGGCTCCTCTTTGGTTTCATCAAGCAAAGCAGCGACTGCGCTGCATTAATGTAAGTTGTGGGCTCGGAATGAGAGTAATCTGATCTCTGATCGTTGAAATGATCATTCGAATCGGGGCCCCCACGATTGCTCCAACATGTTGATTCGGATTCGGATTGTTAGGAGATAAATAGCTCGAGCCATCGTTACACCCCACCTTGTTCGGGTGAGTATGGATCGAAGGAATGGACGAACCTCTATGGTGAAGCTGCATGGGATGTTTACTTCCAAATCCCACCATGTACGACATTTCCATGGGGTTGTTCCCCAATATGTAATTAACTTGTGATTTTACGAAAGATTTGATTTGGGAGGGTGAGAAATGGGCTGAGCCGCATTGAATGCCGTCGATATTAGACGTCTTTAACGTTTTCGAGTAAGCAGACAGCACCATGCACGAGCTTGTAACATATTGCAAATTAGAGCTATCTCTTACAAACAATAGAAATCTAAGTTATTCATTAGAAATCTAATAGTTATTCATTAGAAATCTAATAGTTATTCATTATCGATTACCAGGAGTTGTTTTCATTTGTAAAGAGCTACTCCCTGGCATCAGTGCACATATAAAATTTTCGGCATCGGTCTTATATTTAGACAATTCCTTCTTCCCACCATAGAATTCCTGAAGAAAAACTGTTAATATCTGTCTTTCGTTGCTTACAAAGAAGGGACAGAAGATTACACAGCGAATTAATATCGATATACCTTTGCTAGTAATGCCTGAGCTCCAGCAAATATGTTGTCCCAGCTGAACTCCGACACTCCCTGACTCCATCCTTGGTTGCTCACAACATAGTTTAAGTATTTTATATCTTTCCTTGACTTGTATAGCCAAGCTGCCGACCATAACAATTCATCCTGTCCAAAAAATCCCAACGAATGAAGCTCAAATCAAACAGAATTGATGCATGTTATATGTATTAACCTACGTAATTTCTACATGATTTACCTGATATCCTGAGAAAGAACAGTAGAAAGGGCAAGAATCTTTGTAAGATCCTCTATACTTGTCTGCAAATTCGAATAACTGTAAAACCGAGTGATCCAGGTTAAATATGCATATGAGTTAATGATAGTTTGTCAGGCATAAAGGAACTAATTTAACCAGAGCTTCTTACTGATTTGGATTTTCTTAACAGCTTCGTAGAGTAATTGGAATCAACCTCTTGCAAGACTAATGAAGCAGCGGCAAGGGCGGCAGCTGCCTCGGCTGCTGCTTCGGATCCCGGTGAATCGGAAGTTATTTTACGGAGTGTTCGAGGGGTGTCCATGTCTTCGGGACGCTCCCAACATTGGTGATCATTGTTTCCATCCCCCACCTGTAAATACAAATACCATTGATATTCATGTCCGAACGAATGTTGAATAGATGGTTAAAAAGAAGGCATAAACCTGAGTATAAAGTGTCGTGGGCGAAGTATGGGCTCGCAATATAAAATCGGTGCCCCAACGGATTGCGATGTGGAGGTGGTTAAGCTCGTCGGCAGAATCGATTTCATGCCGGAACTCAACAGCTGCCCAACTTAAAAGAGTGACCGTAAACGCCATAGGCCATACGAACTTCACATTGTCCCCAGCATCGTAGTAACCTCCCACCAAATTAACCTGTAACAAAATCGAATCCAAACTTATAATTTATTCTTCGATAAAACTGGAATTTATAAGTCAGTAGTAATACAAACTATTTTCGTAGCCGTAATTTATCGGGTTTGCCGTCGGTAAGTGCAGAGTCTCCCCTCCACTTTATTCTCTGACTCACCGGTAACTTCCCCGAACGTTGTCCTTCAAAGAACAAGATTGATTTGCCAAGTGCATCCTTATAGTCATAAGACAAACCCGAATCCTCCAAGGCTAATCCATCGTTGCTGCTACTAGCCAATGCCATGGCTAAGAGCAGCACAAGGCCAGACTGCATACTATTTTCTCAGACACCATTGATTACCTGCAATTGCATTAATTTGCATGGACTTAATAGTTGGTCATGCTGGTTATTTATAGACGGAGAATCCTTCATCACAATATGTAATTCGTAAAAGAAGTTGCAAATAATTATTCAGTGTTGATTTTTAAAATGATAGTATAATAATAATATAAACTATTAAAGGTTATTAAATTATATTCAAATGATTAATTTATCACTAGTTTTTTTAAAAAATAATAAGATAAGTTATGTTAACGGTTTTTAAATTATATAACACATTAATGATTAATATAACGTTTTTTTATAATTAGATTTTATTACCCAAAATAGCAGTGAACTGCTACAAAATCAATCCAATCAATGGAACAAGAATGGGAACCTATGTACAACAAAAATTAGACTATACCCCAATGATTACAAAGAGATAAATTTGTGCTATCTAATCTATTAACATTCCTGTCACTTAGAT